CTGTTATATTTGATATTGTATCGAGTTTTTGATCAGATTCAAAAATTCGTTTTTACCTACCTTTTGTCCGGCTTATACACTACTTGCTAGGCGGACACAAAACTACACATATTTCTGGAGTTTTAACGCTATTTAACTTTCGAATTAGTCATATTTTTTATCTGCTTTACATTGTGTGTAAATATATGTGTGTATACCATTGTAGATATTCAAAAAGTTCAAAATGGTCACAAAAACGTTTCTTTGAAAGTCTTTTATTTTACTATCTTTCCGTAGTAAGTTATAGTGATTGCAAAAAAAATTGTAAATTAAATTTTTTATATATCTTAAGGTTTCAGAGGTTGACATTTTGACATAGCTTAGAAAAAAATGGATGTTTGTTTATGATCCATTCAAAAAACATGCGAGATGTTGATTAGTTTTTGGTAAAGGCAAGCCAGCTTTTTTTTAAGTACAGATAAAAAAAATGTCAAAAATGGTAATTCAATTTTTGAGATAACGGAGGGTCTGATTTTCATCTCATTTGTAATAATAAAATGAACTAATTAATCATTTCAAATACTTTATAGAAATTTTAATAATCAGTACAAATTTTGTATATATTTCTATGGGTTCTGTACCAAAGTTTATTCGTTAGATTCGACACTGCGTACGCGCTTCCATATTTTGTCTTTACGTAGCATAATTGCTCTAAAAAAGTTCAACATTTTCAAAAAAAATCAAAATATAAAAAAATATTACAAATTTTCAGTTTTTTTTCAAAAATGCAAAATATCCAAAAATCTAATTTATTCAAGATTTCTAAAGTTTTCAAAAAATTTTGAAGATTTTTAAAAAAATTTAATTTTTGGTACGGGAAGTTTCAACAGTATGTCCTAAGGCACGATGCAATGCACCACTAGTTTACTTTATTTTAACATTTTTTTGTTTTATAACTATGTGTATATATTAATTAGCACTTCTCATTTTTTGTGTTTTGTTTGAATTATTTGTGTGTGTGTGTAACATTTGTATTTGTGTACATACTTGTTTCAATAATTGAACTCCCACTAAACGGTTCTAAATTCGTTTTGAGAACCTAATTTTTGTGCGTGAGATGGCGCTTTTCTCGCTCCGACTTCTTAATACTGGTGGCTTTGCAAGATCTTTCAATGTTGAAGTTATATTTATAGTTCTTAACTTTATATAGGACGTAATAATAAAATACAATAAGAAATGACGGTGTATTTGCACTATTACAAATTGTTATGAAACCCTAGAAATCCTACTCGAAGTTATTTTTCGATTATTCTATTTAGGCATTTGCAGTTTGCAATCCGTTTAGCATCTGCAATAACGATTAATAAGTGGCAAGGACAAAAAATATCAATTTCTGTATTGGATCTAAAAAAAATCCGTACTTCTTGCATGGCCAATTATATTCGAGTGTTCAAGGGTAGGCAAGCCATCAAGTTTGTTTGTTCATATTCCTCGGGAACTAATTAAGAATATTGTTCACTAAAATGCATCAAGACAAGATAATTTATATTTGACTCAAGTTATTAAGAATACATGTGGATCATTTTTATGTTTGAAAAAAAAAATGTACCGGTTATAAAAATACTGTTTTGCTTTCTTTGTAATATTTGAATTATTTTCAAGTTTTCTTCAAGACTAAATTGGCTTGAACGACTAAATTGTCGTTTATAGTCACGATTTTTTTCACACGCCATTATTCATAAAAACACACATGCAAAATTATGTATAAAATAGTCCTAATCATTCGAGGACTAATAATTTATGACTTTGGAGTTACTCAGGACGACGTTTGTTTGGCTGGCTGGTGTTTTTGCATATGTGTATGTATGTATATATATATTTAACTACTTATACATCGACGTATAAAGAGTATAGCAGGTTTTCATGCATATTTATGCATATGAATAGGGTAGATCGGGGCAAAAAGGTCTAATTTTTTTACTTTGAGCAATTATATTGTGTAAACCAAACTAATTATATCACAACAAAAAACCTATGTCAAACAAACAACTATCTGACTATGTTCAGTAAAACACGCAGCTAAGTTATTTTTGCAGAAATGTGTTTTTGCTGTTTTTCAAAAATTTGTCACCTGTTGTTTTTGCTCCATAGACGGGGTAAAGTGGGTTGGCCAGGCTGCACTGGGTTCAATGTCTTATTTTCAATTTTAAAGGGATAATACAAAATAATAGCTACATTATTCAATCAAAGCAAAATGTAAATTTCATGGGATAATTTTTACAGTAACACTGTATATAACCTTGATCTGGTATTTTGTCAGAAATATTCATCCAGTGAGTTTAAATGACTATTTATTTAATTTATCTCTTCTAAAATTACTTTTTTAAAATTAATTTACTTTTTTATTTATTATTTTTTATTGTTTCCATCTTTGCCAGGGTAAAGATCCAGTTGGTCCTATATACCTCAACCACGTGTAAGCTATTATAAAGGTTATACAAAACAAACTGTTGCATCTAACTTACAATTAGTAATACAGCTTATAAAATAATTAAATAACGTATATTTAAAAATTATAGTCTCGTAAACTAAGCATTAGTGCTCGCGACCAAAAAAACTAACAACGAAAGAAAATACTTTTGTAATGGATTTTCAAACATTGCCGTTTGTTTCTCGACACCAACAACGTAGTAAGAATCAAGGTGATGATTCGTTATACATTTTTCTCCCTCAGCTTTAAAATATTGTTCTTGAAAAATTCTTAACTTTCCTTGTTTGTGAGATAACGGTGGTGGACCTTTTACTCACGGATCTTTAAGCCCCGCTCTACCCTACTTTCTAAAAATACTTTGTTGCTTATAATAAAAAAAAATAATATGACCCACAACTTTCGAATTGCAATGGGTAAACAACATAATATTAATTTTGTAAAATTTAAACATTGTATTAATTACATAATTGTTCTACGTATATTTTAAGTCATGTGCTTCAGACGGAATCCCGTGATGTATAAAAGATTCTGTTAATATTTCGTGTTATTTGCCCTGCACTACAGCCCTACTAACTTGAGACTGATAGCGAATAATAAACTACAGCGGGTTTGACTATATAAATCAACTTCGAAAGTTGTTCTTGCACAGTTCCTTGGCTTTAGAATGTTGCCACACCGGTTCGCAAACTTAATTATTAGATTAAATCAAACGAGGAGATTTATAGCGCGCATGTGCAACAATACATTCTAATATCGATATCTTACAATACTTTGTAATTTTAGCCCTTGTCGATTTTGAATCACAAGGGAAATTTTTAGCAAATTTTCACAAAATTTGTTTTTTTGTTAGTCCAGTTAATTCTTTTCACATTGCAACAAAGTTTTGTTGGTGCATCGATAATTTTTCAATATGGTAATTTCGAATTATATTTGCTTTAACCAAAATTTTATACTTCTACAAAAAAAATTTCTCTCTCCCCCTCTCTCTCCTCTCTCTCTCTCTCTCTCTATATATATATATATATATATATATATATATATATATATATATATCGTGCAAAGTACTTCACAGTTCAATAATTACTTCATAAATACCAAAATAATATAATCACTTGAAAAATACATTTTCGATTTATTTTAAAACACTTAGAAATTTGTTAAACTAAATAGTCATATTATACAATAACCTAAAATTTGTTAAACAAAATACATATATTGTAATGTTTATTAAAATACCTATTAAATTGTTAAAAAAAATACTTGCAACATATAAACACTAATCTTAAACAAACTATTCATATTTAAAAATAATTACAATTAACTAAATATAAATAAGTTTATAGTAAGTAAATTTAATAATAAATGAATAAATAATAAAATAGTTAATTCAATTATATTAAATTTGTAAAATAGTGACATGAGCCTTATTATAATTAGGTTATACTGACGGCTTGTAAAATTAATAAATAAATATTATTAAATAATTCGCCATCAATTTTTATAGGTGCATATAATTTTATTTTAAACATTTCAAATGCCAATACTTAAAGAAAAGTTAATCATGTCATTTTGGTTCTTTTTGATTGAAACAAATTTTATTTGTTTGTATTTAAACTCTTAAATCTTAAGATTTTTTAATTCCAAGAAAGTTACTCTACCATAGTTAGTTTTTTTCATATTTCTGTTACTATTCTTTGTGCAATAATAAATATAAATTTGCATATCGAAATATTTGGCCTAAATTGGTATTTCTAACACGGTTTCATAATCATAAGTTTAAATGGTCGTAAAACTATAACATTAACTTGGTAAAATGCGGAAACTGAACTTCTATGTAATTCTTGTTTATTTAAATAATTTATTTGTACGCATGTATATATATATATATATATATATATATATATATGTGTATGTATATATATGTATAATATATAACCAATATTGTGTGGCATTTAGGTCTTATAATTAGTCTATATTACATTTTCAATCAAATATTAGATTTGTTGAAAAAAACCGATTGTATTTAATATAATTCATTTAAAAAATTTAGAAATATCTGACAAGTTTTGAAAAAAAAAATTTTCTAATTTATATTGATTCCCCAAAATTTTTAAGTTATTATGATTTCAAAAAAATCTAGAATTATGAATATTGAATGCAGAAATACAAATATTTGCATATTGCTATAGGATCTAAAATTTAGTAAAAAAAAATCAATTTTTAAGATATGAGTGAGTAAATTAGGTTGTATATGTCAATACTTTCGAACTATCGAATGGCCATATTTTTACAAATTATTTTCTGTATGTATGTATATATATATATATGTATATATATAATAACTGATGCTATTTTTTAATTTTTAATGTCCTGCAATGTAATGATATACATCAAAATTTGTTTTTTAACGATTTTAATATATTACAGGAGTACATTAATTACAAATTATTACTTTTATTATTGTGCCGATATATATAAATATGGAATGCTTATAGTCACGGTTTTAATATGTGCTTTTATTTTGTTACAGAGATCGGAAAACATTGACTTATCATTATCATTGTCACAATACAACAACGTTAATTTCAACATGTCTGATCAGGTGAGTTTTACAAAAATTACATATACAGTTACATTTGTTTTCATTTAACAATTCAATGTTGTTCATAAATTACATTATAAATATAGATATGCCACAATCAACAATGTAAATCGCTTTTAACCACAATATACCATTAGCTAGTAGTTGTTATAATATATCTATATTTTATTTCGATTATGAAATTTCAAATTATTGCATAGTATTATTTTTTTTTGTATTTTGCAATTTATTTACGAATATTTGCTATCTCTTAACCAGAGGTCCCTGTATCGAGCAACCTGATGTCAAGTAGTAGTGACATCAGTTTTCACTTGAAATTATGGACAGTCAATATTTTTCTAAGTGATCGTAGCCCTTACCCTACATGAAAATTACAGAAATTGTAACAATGAAATTGATCACATAGAGATAGGACAAATGTTTGAGTTGTCATTTATAATAAGGCTAAATACGTAGCTTTTAATAACTAATTCATCACAAAAGCTCATATAAGCTCTGATCGCTGGTAAAATAATTAAAAAATATATATTTGCTATCTGCAGTGACATTTCTGTGTCAATAACTATATTCGACTTTCAATTATCTCATAAAGCTTACTCTCACCTTTTATAGCACTTCTTTATTTGTAACTTTTGCGGGTTTATTTCATCTTGCTCATTTTACTCAAGCACCTTATTTCAAAACCCTCTCCAGGTAGATTTAGTCCCTTTTCCTAAAAATAAGTGTCCATGTATCTGATCAGATGCATCGAAATTACTTGAAGTGGTGCATATCTTCCATTTTCTGATTTTGTACCGATATCCTTAAAAGATCATCTCCTTTCGACATTCTCATCACTTTCGATTGGTTGATGTTGATTTCCATTCAGTCCTGTGTCCCCACTTTGGCAATATGTATCATCATGTTTTATCTCAATCTCTCCAATCGTCTTCAACATGTTGAAGATTTTTTATCGTATAATTTAGCAATGTATTTTTCCCACGAACTAAATTTTGCTTATAAACCTTTTCATCATTGCCATTTTCCAATTTGCAACTTTTTCTGCTTTTTCTTTCTGCCTAATTTATCTCTTGTGTCGTAACTCTTTTGTTCAGTCATTATAGTAAGTTCACCTCAGCATTCGAGATACCCAGCTGTAAGCCTGTAAATACTTGTATATTGACACCCTAAAGTTGTCTCAAAACCTGCATATGGTATTGACACCCTACCATATGTAGGTTATTAGACAACTTTAGGGTGTCAATATACAAGTGTTTACAGACTTATAGCTGGGTATCTCGAATTCCGAGATTCTTACCTAATTTAAGCTTAAATGACTGGACTAAAATCCAATTTAATTTAAGAAATCCAGTTTGATTTTGACAACATTTTTTTTATTGGTATTTTTGTATTTTCTGCGTTATTTCATATTTTTTCTAGCTTACCGACTCCAGAAATAACTTTTATTAAGGTTCAGAGACATATCTCTTAAATTTTTTACGTTCCTTAAATTCTTCTACGACATCATCTTTTATTTTGACAAACTCAATTTTCACTTGCTCATCCTCGTTTGTCGAATGTTCTTTGGTTTCGTCTTTATATCGACCGTCAGGGTAAAAGAATTTTTCGGATGATATATATTTTAAACATAATTTCTTTCAAATAAGCTATACTATTATTTATCAATTAACATTCGATACAACAAAATGAACAACAGTTATAAAATAATTTTTTTTAGCAAATCAGATTTTGGCAAACTGTGTTATTAAATGGCATTTATTTAATGACAACATATTAAGTCTCTTTATTTCTTTTCCTCTATCTCTTCTATTATTCAAGGTATTCGAATTGGGCATTCATAAAAATTTACTTTATAGAAATGGCAACGGTAGAAGATTGAATAGAAAAACTAAAAGTATTTGTGTTTTATGATTAGCTTTAACATAATATTTATTCAGAAATAGGAAAGTTTGAGCATTTTTAAGGTTCATATGAAGACGCATTTCATTCTAGCCTTTTTGATGTTATTAGCCTGTTTATTAGTCATTAGGGTTCATCTGAAATTTTACGCCCACGTGAGGTTTCACTATGTCTATGTGTAACCAAGCATAATTAACCCTAATTTTTACTTTAACTTGTTTTTGCATGTTGCCAAAGATCATTTTCAGCATAAAGCGAAAGTTTAAATTATAGTTTTATTAACTTTGTAATCGGAAAATGAAAATTTTTCCTAACGTTTCAAAGGTTTTTGAACATTTTAACATACCTCGAATTAATGTATGTGTGTATGTGTGTGTGCAGATTTTTCTCGGCTATTTCGAGAACGAAGAACTGATTAAATTTTTAGAAAGGCATGTCCAGCGGTTTAGGAGATCCAAAAAATGTAAAAGAAAAGCCATTTGGCGGACAAAAATTATCATTAGACACATACACATCAAATTGTCAGATATTTTATAGAGATTTTAGTAATAAGTACAAATGTTTTCATTTTTATGGATTCCGTATCAATGTTTATTGTTTCTAAGGCAGTTATGCAGCGCGACTGCTTTAAAAAAAGTTCGAAAAAAAATCCAAAATATAAATAAAATTCGAATTTTTCAAAAACCTTAATTTTTTCAAAATTTCATAAATTTTAGTAAGTAATTATTTTTAAGTTTTCAAATAATGTTTAAGCTTTGAAAAAAAAAAATTCAGTAGAGGACGTTCCATGCACCACTAGTTTTAATTATTTGGAATTTTAAAGCAAATGCTTTCGATAATATACAGTGGCCAATATTTAATTTAAATAATATTTGTAGAAAGTTTTTTTTTATCGGTCATTCTCATCATCATTATCTATCGAATAATAATAACTGAATTCTAAAAGAAATGTTTTCTGATCAGATAACACACTTTGTAGTAAATTTGCAGAATTATTCTACTCTGTTAATTAGTTCCATTCAAAACAGTTCGTTGACAAGTACCGAATTAATTTTCCAGAGTCCTCTATATCTTTCAGTCGTATCGTAAATGTCGCTGTTGCTATTCGTTACAGAAAATTAGTATTCCTTATAAAGACTATAATGTTTATCAAATAATTAATACTATAAATGTTATGAAGACAGAGAATTTATAAGCTCTCATTCCCTCTTCTACAAATATTTACTTCCGTTTTCATGTTATTTCTTGAATCAATTTGAATAATATTCTCTTAACATAAAAATAGTCTAGAAAACACACATTCATCCTTAATTATTATATAATTTCAGGAAATGACTATTTATAGTTCTGTTAATTGATGTAGAAATGAAAATAAGTAAATTTAATTAGAAAATGTAAATTATGCAGGAAAATTTAGTTTTCCTAAATAGAGAGGCCAGAAATCTTTGCGCAAGTTAAAATATCTGATGCAATGGTAATGAATATTTTTATGTGTATTTTATTTTAAATATATTAATTTGCATAAATTACAGATGCAAGACTATTCTTTTCGTAAGAAGCAACTAATTAAGTCCTAATACTTTTAGACAATATATTTTTTTGAACTAATGATTTCTGAGAAACTGTTCTCTAGCAACAATGTTGGATATTTTTGTTTTTATTAAAATATATTAGGATTTATTGTGATATTATTTGTACTATTATATTTAAAAGTATATTTGTAATTTATTTGTACTTAATTAATACTTTAAGTTTATATTTTAAAAATTGTTTATAATCTTTTATTAAAATTGTGCTAATTGGAGAATACTGTTAGACTTTCTAATTCTATTATTAGAGTTTTAAACGGCACTTGAATTGAGTATTTTTTAAATACGCTATGCCGAAAATGAAATTTGAAATCAAATATCTTGACATAAATATGAAGATATACATCTCTTTATAAAATAATATTTGGTTGGTAATAATTATATTATCATTTTTCTGTGTGTGAATCAAGCGAAGAATGCAATCTACGAAGCGATATAACTCTGCTAGAATTAATAAAGCAGATATGAAGAAAACCGTTATCTATATTCACATAAAAAAGTAAAACAATTTGGTATTAATTATAATTAATCATGTTTATTTTTTATTCAAAAGAATGTATAACAATTTATAATCAAATATATTTGAATGTTTTGATGACGGAATAATTCTGGTTTATAATAAAATTGATAAGAGTTCGGAATTCTAAATTTTAGGAAATTAAATGAAATATAATTTATGCGGGGTTTTCTCGATTTTTAATCATAGTTTAAATATTTTTTATTCCAAATCGTCCATATTAATGGATGATCTCTATGATTATAATACATTTTTTACGTCGAATACTGCCCGATTTATTAGTTGGTGTTTTATCATAATTTTAGTTCTGAAATTTATAATCATTTATAATTAGAAGCTATATCACATCACATCACATTTCTTCACATTAGAACCCCGACCTTAAGCCTCTCATTTTTTACTCAAAACGTCTTTGTAGTAGAATCTCATATCTTTTATGACATTAAAGTACACTGTATACAGTGCTTCACATTCTTCCTACCTGCTCAAAATTCTAGCCAGATGGTAGAAATTCTAAAAGAAAATAAATTAAAATTGAGCTAAATCAAAAAGTAGTGTAAAAGGTATGACGGTTATTTTTTTTATTACTTAACTAATATATTAACCATAATATTTTCAATTTGTTAAAGCATTAGCAAAAACAATAAGATTACTCTATTTTGAACGTTTGTCGATAATCAATTATGAACTTAAGTTTTATTACTAGCCAGTAGTCATTGTGTAAAATGGCTTTGTGACATCTAGACCGTAACACGTTATCTTTCGATTGGTTAACACGTCGAAATCCAACACTTGTCTTTTCATATCTGTAATATTTCCTACAATCTTAAACTTTAAATAAACTATAACTGAAAATAAGTTTGTATTTGCTAGAAAATTCGATTTGCTTGTTCTCGTCATTTTCAGTCATTCTGAATCATTTGACTTTGGTTTGTGGCCCTTTTTTCTTTTTGTCGACATTTTCTCACAAACGTCTGCGCTGATTTCAAAACTTT